TCACTGATAGGAATGATATGCACAGGAATCTGTATGCAGATGGCATCCGAAGACAGGCAGAGGCAGATATAAATGACATGCCGATGTCTCTCTGCACAGTGCTGTACACCTAGTAAGTTCTCAGAAAATACTAGTTATTAGAGAAATACTTTTTTTTTTTTTAAAGTTGAGATTGTAGTACATATATACAGCTTTTCAGTCTACTTTTTAAAAAAATTGATAATATCAGGATGTTTTTTCCAAACCGTAAGTATTTCTTGGAAACACTTGTTTTTCTTGTGTCCCATCACGCGCATAAACCGTAGTTGCCCGTGAAACCCCGCAGGTGGGATGCCGAGGTTCCTCCTGCGGCTTCTCGTTGCCCCCAGCAGCCGGGGGTGAGCGCTTTTGCTGGGGCCCTGAGTCCCTTTCTGCGAACGTCTCGGGGGCAGTTCCCGGCAGCGAACGCTGCGCCGCTGGAAACCTGGGCCCGGGCGCCCTGTGTGCTGGCTGTACCAGTTTCTACCACATCCTGGCCCCCGCTGGGGTTTTTAAAAGAAAGATAAAAAACAAAAGACCCATAAACTCGAAAACCTTTGCCATGTGCATTTCAGCTTTTTAAACCATAAAAGCAATGTGTACACTTGATCAAAAACTTTCCAAGAATAAAAGTGCATGAAGTGAAAAGGCGAGGCGCCCGCAGCCGGCGCGGGGAGGGGGCTGAGTCTGCGGGGCCTGTGCACAGTCAGTGTCCTTTTAATACCGCTGGGCTCCCCGTCAGAGACTGCCAGGTTGGCACGTGCGAGCCCGGGCTCGGCCTTTGTCAGGGCTGCGTTCGTGTCCCGGTCCCGGCGAAGGACAGTTTTTCTGGCCGCTCCCCGCCGGCTCCGGAAGCACCTTCGTTTCTCACTGTCCCCAGCGGTGTTTCGCAGCTTCCGCGCGTCGCAGTGGCTTGGGGATCGAGCTCTAGAAACAGAATCGCTGCCAGGCCGCTTCCTGGAGCCCCCGAGCCCTTGTTTCTGGGGCCCCGTGGGTACAGGCTTCTGGCCAAGGCTGGTCCCTCGCCCGCGGGTTTGTCCGGTGCCCCTGGGTGTCAGGGGCGCTGTGGACAGAGCAGAACTGGCCTCTTCCTGTGGAAGTGCTGGCTTATGGAGGGTCCCTGCCTGCCTGCGCCCTGTCCCCAGGCCTGTTTGCAAATGGGCGGAGGAGGCCGGTTCCTCAGGGGGGCTGCCCGCTGCTGCCCCCCCGATGGCTTCAGGGCAGCCCCCGCCTGCCAGAGCCAACTCCATTCAGGGAGCAGACAGCCGGCACCGGCTGCAGGGCGGGGCCGCCCCACCCTCCTGGTGCCCTGTCTTGTGGGGCAGCCGGGGAAGTAAGCACTTGCCTCCGGGGGGGCCTGGGGACCAACGGGGTGTCATTGTGAAAGTTGGTGGTTTCTGCTTTTTCTGTCCCTTCTCTGGAAGGGACCAGCGGGGCCTGTGTGTGTGTGTGTGTGTGTGTGTGTGTGTGTGTGTGTGTGT